CTACAAAATATGTCTTCACTTTTATATGGATCCGGATTATCTTGGTTTGTCATTATACTTCTGATAGCTATAAAATATGGGCCTGAGTTGTACCCGACTGAAAACTTTAGTGTTTTTTGATTCAATAGGTAAAAAAGTTTGATTCCTTTGAATTTGGATTTGGACTTATTGGGCATTTGGGTGGTTTTTTCATTAATATTTTGGACAAAAATAACTTTTATTAATATTAAGGAAAAACCAACAAAAAAAAAAGAACCAAGGAGTTTAGGACTTTCAAGTAAAAATCGATTTTTTAAAAANCCCCATGATGCTACCTAGACAAGGGGCCTCGCCCTTTCCACCCTAAGTGCCCCTTGATGCAGCCTAAACGATGGGTCCCACTCCCTCTCACCAGACGTCCAGCCTCAGGCGCCCAGCGCCCCTCAGCATCCACGCCTAACACTCATCGGCATCCGCACCCAGAGCCCCTCGGCGTCCATGCCCAACACCAAGTGCCCAGCGATGCCCAACTCCTTAGTAGCATCTCTCATTTTCTCCATCTCTATGGAGTGAGCCTCTAACCTAGTAGCTCTCTCAAGTGCTACTTGAAGGTCAGTCTCAAAGTATCTCCTCCATCTCTATGGAATGAGCCTCTGTACTGGTAGCTCTCTCAAGTGCTATTTGATGGTCAGCCCTCTCATGTACTAGCCTCAGCTTCTTAGCGGCATCCTCTCGTGCCTACCGTGCAAGCTCCGCGACATCCTCTCGTGCCTGCCGCTCAGGCACGAATTGCACTGCAACATCCTATATTTCCAGCTTCACACTCTCTCGCGAGTTGCAAAGAAGCTCGGCCTTATCTAGCCTCTATTACGGCAGCCATCTCCCGAGTTATATGTAGCTCGACCTCATCTTATACGGCCCTCTCACGGAACGACCACAGCTCCGACTTTGCTCTCATGCAAACAGTCTGTCTCTCTCTAGATAATCATGTTAAGATATTTAAATGTTGGAAAAACATTATTTTTGTCAGGCATAGTTTCGGAGCTACATTCCCTGTAGAAGATCGAGCTGGAGTCTCAGTTCTTATAGCGGCATAAGTGCTAGCTCTGTTGTACACAGGAGTCACACTCTAGGAAAGAGAGAGGGCACCACCGAAAGCAACTTAGCCATCAGACTTTGACCGAGAAGCACTGGGGCATCAAACCTCGCCCTCTCGAGAGGAGAAAAAAATACCACCATAAAAGCAGAGAAAGTCTCCAGATCAACATGGTGCTTATAATTAGAGACAATGTCAATTAGTGACCAAACACTAGAGAGATGCCACCCATAGCGAGGCTCAAGGCATCGCCCAAACGTAGCAGTGTCCAAGGCCTCCTGAAGTCACCCAAGGTGCCTACCTAACCTCCTGGTGTCGCCCAAGGCACCTGTTCAGCCTCTTGGCATTGTTCAAGGCGCTATTCAGCCTCTTGACGTCACTCAAAGTATCACACCAGCCTACAGTAGCCTCCACTGTTGCTCAAAGGATGCCAAAAAAAAAAAGGGGGCTGCACCCAAGAAGAAGCCAAAAAAAAAAAAAAAGAGGAGGAGGAGGCGCCAGACCAAAGGAAGAAAAGAAAAAAAAAAAGAGAGAGAGAGAGAGAGAATGGAGGCGGTGCCCAAGCAGCCAAGGGAAAAGAAAAAAAAAAGAGAGAGAGAGAGAGAAGGGAGGCAGCACCCAAGCAGCCAAGGGAAAAGAAAAGAAAAAAAAAAAGGACAGAGAGGAGGAGGGCAGCGCCTAGGAGAGCAGACCAAGAAAGAATAAAAAAAAAAGAAGAAAAGAGAGGGAAGAAGGGGTAGCGCCCAGATCAGACCAAAAGAGAAAGAAGAAAAGAGAAGGAAGGAGGAGCAGCTCCCAGCCTAGACCAAGGAAAAAAAAAAAAAAAGGGAGGCCCAAGCCCAACTATGAAGCCAAGAGAAGAAAGATAGAAAAAAAAAAAAAGGTAAGGAAGCCCGATCCAAAAAAAATAACAAAAAAGGAAGAAAAGTCAACAAAAGGGGCGGCACACACAAAATTTTTTTTTGTTCGATGTTGATCAATACGGTAGAGTCCTTAAAACGGGAAAGATTTCGTCCTACTCCGATGAAGATCAAGTACATGCCCGCAATACCTTTCTCTCAAAAAAGTTAGAAGTTTGGGACATAGGGGATAAATGATGAATTCAAATTTTATTGGATCAAACCCAATATAAATAAGCCGAAAAAGTTCAATGAAAAGTCCAAGTATAGATAAATCGACCAAAGAGTTAAGTGGGAGTCCAAAACAGAAACCAAGCCTATCCTCAAAAGGGACGCCGCCCAAGGGGCCGAATGGGCGCTGTCCAGGGTGCCCAAGGGGCGCCACCCACGAAGACTCCAAGTGGGCACCGCCCATGCGGCTTCAAGTGGGTGTCGTCCATACCTTGCCCATCCTCCCCTCCCACTTCACTCAGATACAAGTCCAAGATCACTCTGGGTCTAAGCCCAAAGTCAAGTACGAGCTCAGTCCCGTTCAAGATCCTCCTCCGAAAAAATAGGAGCACGAGGGAGAAAACACAGGGATAGACACGGAGATCTCCTACCATAGTTGTACTTACTAAAACAGTAGAAATTTTCCTCCTCACGTCACCGTCTCATCACACTTATATAATGTAAACCCTCTTCATATAAAGGGCATGCTCTTATAACCTTGAGATCCCTACACACACTATACCTTCCTACACAGATTGGTCTCTCTCTCCAAAGCACTGTAATACATCGGAGTTACTCTCCCGGTAACACGGTTCATTAATAAAACACCCCAGGCCACCACCACCATTCCCCGGAGTGGAGTATGTCACTTGAACTGAACCACTATAAACATCTGTGTTTTCTCCTTAGTTACTGTTTTAATCATTAATTGCCGTTGATTGTCTTTTATTGCTCACTTATTGCATCCGTTCGTATACTTGACTATTGATCTTGCGCGAAGACAATTTTGTACAAGTGCTTTTACTATATTTGTGAAATTACAAACAACACAATCTTTGTTCCTCATGTGTAAATGAGTCAATTTTATTTATTACAGTTTTATGTGTTAACATTTATTCTTTGATGTTACTGTTTTGTAGTTTATTATATAAACAATTTTATATATTATCAGAAATTCCCAATAAATAATTTTGCTATATTATAGAAATTCACACTATTTTTTTTAACAGAGTCAAGTCGCAAAGAGAATTCTTTTATGTTAACAATGACATTTTCAAATGAAAAATGGTGACAATCCAAGGAAACAATCGAGTTTCTTTCCTGTATGATCACGATATCCAACGCGAGTGAGGATTTCATGTTTTTTTCCATGATCTTGCATAAATATATCTATATTTAGATTACTAATAAAAGTGGCTTAAATAAAAAGTTTTTGATTTTCTTATTTATATTTCAATAATTATATAATATCTATTTTGTCATTTTCAAAATGTCTTAAAAGAAAAACTTTTAATTTTCATATTTATCCTTAAAAATTCTATAATGTCTATTTTATCTTTTTTTAAGGAATTTTTTATTAGTTGCATTAACTCAACTAATAAATTCATTGTTAGACTTTTGATTATCTTCTTTCTAAATAATATAAATTCTATCCAAATCGGATTTGAACAATGTGATCCGAATTCAATTCAATTGTCCAATGAATTTTATTTTCATAGTGTATATATGAATTCATTAAAATAGATATCTGTTCTGATCCGAATAAATTGATTAGAGACAATTTTATCATTTAACAAATGAATTTCTTCTCAATTTTATTAAATAATCGTCAAATTACATCATATAAGTGTAGGTACGTAATGCATATCCAAATTCGTTAAAAAAAATATTTGATTAGATCTAATAATCTATAAACTACTTTCGAAAGTCAATGCTTGTCAAAAAATTTAATTGATAATACTATCCTTAAAAAGATAAAAATACAATAATAACCTATTGTAATAACTTCTTATTGGTCAAAGGAATTAGTAGTCATCGATCTATTAATCACTTATTGAAGTTAAACAATGTAGTTTTTAAATCTAATGNTACTTATTGAAGTTAAACAATGCAGTTTTTAAATCTAATGCATTTCAGTTCATACAACTCAAAATACGAGAAAAATCTTGAGCGTAACAATTACCTTACGTCAACAGTGTCACTTTGTATAATCGTCGACTAAGTGGATAAGTGAGCACCATAAAATTCAATAACTANCACTTATTGAAGTTAAACAATGTAGTTTTTAAATCTAATGCATTTCAGTTCATACAATTCAAAATACGATAAAAATCTTGAGCGTAACAATTACCTCACGTCAACAGTGCCACTTTGTATAATCGTCGACTAAGTGGATAAGTGAGCACCATAAAATTCAATAACTATCATTTAATATATAACCATCTCTACATAAAGAAAATTGGTACAATTTATCTATTTTTTTTAAAAACAAGTAAAAATAATTAACGTATATTACACGTATGCATCAACTAGTATATATAAAAGTGGAGCACTCTGGAAGGCCGCCACTATCAATCCAATATGATTTTGAATGCATGTTGTGAACTGAAGGCAATTTGTTTTCTTGAATTTTAAGCAACATTTCAGTGATCGTGTGCAAGTTTCTGCCACTATCAATTTCAGTGATAGAATAATGCTATTTGCTGTCGATGGCAATCAATTATCAAAGAACAAAAGTTAGAATAATAGCAATAGCAGATAAATGCAACAAAAAAATGTGTTCCTTATATAAAACGTCTCAATTATGTATACAACGACTAATTACAAAATATCATTACCATAGTTTATTGCAATTTATGAGTAAATATTTAAATACTAGAAGTGTTGTCACACTGAATATTTTAGTCGTGATTCAATGGTGAGGATAGTCTATCTTTTAAACTAGAAGGTAAAACTGTCTTTAACTTATACTTTTTAAACCTCATTTTAGGCGTAACCTCTACATACCTGCACAATAATAACTTTTCAAGAAATTCTCAAACATTTTTTTCAATTTCTGAAAGAACTTTGTCCATAATGGTGCGAGCTCTACACATGGCTACCAGTGGCTTAGCTTTTGGCATGGTGATCCCTTTTCCTTCAGCCAAATCAACCTCCTCTCCACTAATCCTCTCCCACTCAAAGCATTGAATCAATGATCCCAAGGCCGAACCCACCACTCTCTGANATGGCTTAGCTTTTGGCATGGTGATCCCTTTTCCTTCAGCCAAATCAACCTCCTCTCCACTAATTCTCTCCCACTCAAAGCATTGAATCAATGATCCCAAGGCCGAACCCACCACTCTCTGAGCCAATCCAGCACCTGGGCAGGACCTCCTTCCCATCCCAAATGGCATTAGTTTGTGTGCCTCAACCTCCCCACCTTCAAACCTTTCAGGCTTGAAGCTTGTTGGGTCATCCCATACTCTAGGGTCCCTGTGAATTGCCCACGCATTAATTAATAAAATTGTGCCGCGTGGCATATCATATCCCCCAATTGTACAATCAGCAGAAGACTCGTGTGGCACTAATAACGGTGCTGCCGGAAATAATCGAAAAGTCTCCAATATGATATTGTGAAGGTAATGCAAATTGGACAAATCTGCTTCATCGATCAAGCGATNCATCATATCCCCCAATTGTACAATCAGCAGAAGACTCGTGTGGCACTAATAACGGTGCTGCCGGAAATAATCGAAAAGTCTCCGATATGATATTGTGAAGGTAATGCAAATTGGACAAATCTGCTTCATCGATCAAGCGATCAGAACCCACATGAGTGTCCAACTCTGCCCTAGCCTTTTTTAATATCTCAGGATTGTTGAGTAAAAGTGATATTGCCCATTCTATTGTCACAGATGATGTGTCTGTGCCCGCAGTTAGCATTACCTAAACATTATAAGTTCATCAAGTGAGATCAAGAAAAAATTAAAAACGGTTGAAATCAAAGATAATGTTAAAAACTTTCACTACCCAGCTGACCTTAGGTTTTTTACTGGGAGGGATTAATCAAGGGTAAACTGTATTTGAAATCCTCAAAAGTTTACACTAGATTTTTATTTGGTCCTTAAACTATGAATTAAAACATGCAAGTCCTTAAACTTTAACTTCTATTTCAATTAAGTCCTTCAGCTCAAATTCTTCAATAATTCTAAAGCAAAAGGGCCACAGAAAGCATAAACCATAATCCAATTATGGGGTCAATTTTGAATAAGTTGGCCCTAAGGTTAGAGTTTATGTATTAAAAATTACATTTGTTGACTCATTTTGATATAAATTTGACTACTTCAATTGAGTGTATGGGCTCACTTTTTAAGTTTTTTCTCCTATTTATGTTAATTTGATCAAAATTATGCATGTAATTGAGGCACATAATGTTCACGTGATTTTTTTCGTCGTAATTACTAATAAATTTTGTCATAAGGAGTTGATTGAAATTAAGTCTCAGAATTTAAGAATTTGGTTGTTGTAATTGCACCATGCATTTCATAACAAGCCATACTAGCGTGTGATCAGGAACATTGGAGATCTCTTCTTTGTGTCCACGAACCCAGGACCACAAGATTTCAAGAAGAACGAAAGTACACGATGACTATTGGCACCTTTACACAAAACAACTTAAAGATAAATATAGTTAGGGGAAAGTCTACTTAAATTTAGGACTTTTAGGTTCTAGAGCAACATAGAACCATAATTTATTTTAAAATTTTAAATCTTTTGGGATCAAATAGTAAGAGATTATACCATATAAATTCTCTAGTCTCGGCGTACATACATGCACTATCTTTGGCCGGATCAAAAAAAAAATAGTCCAAATACGGATAAGCTTATTCCTCTCTGATAATTGCTGTCAATAAATAACAATACATCTGTTGTAAATACCAAGTGAACAATAAATTTGTTCTCTTGTTTTCCATAGACCACCTACTCAAATATATGAGTGTTTAAATTTGCGATTCCCTATAAATTTCGATTCTACACTACTCCATCCTACCTGCAAAATGCATAACACCTATTTATATATATGTGTGTGTGTGTATTAATCCTAAAAAATTAAAATCTAAAAATCTAGAAATCATAATATTTTATTGATGTTTAGGACTTTATTATATATGATGTATTGATATTTATAATTTTTTTTATTGTGTTTTATTACAATTGTTTATATATTATCGAATTTATTGTATTTTCTTTAGTGTTACTAATTTATTGTGTTAGTTAATTAGTGCAAGTTGTTTAATTAAATTGTTAAAATGATCTAAAAATTAATAACTAAAGAATATGTGTTCATGCGATTTTCTACCCGACTTTCTATCTGATTGTTTAGAACAAAATTCGGGTAGAAACAGAACACCGGATCTAGGATAGATTAAAAAAAAGTTTTTTTATAAAGTGTCGAATAAGAATATAAANCTTCTATCTGATTGTTTAGAACAAAATTTGGGTAGAAATAGAACACTGGATCTAGGATAGATTAAAAAAAAGTTTTTTTATAAAGTGTCGAATAAGAATATAAAATTCCATAACACCTAAATGTGTAACGTAAGGTGAACGCCCCAACTCGAATATGTGATTCTATGACGAGATAGGGTTCCTCTGAGATTGGATTGGATATATTTCAGAATTTATTCAAGTCATGTTTAAAAAATTCATGTCTGGCCTATCAGTTAGACGGGCATAATAGATCTCCTCATTTATAATCTAAACTTGTTAGGGTTTAGTATCAAATTCATTAACTTTATATCAATTTTGGGCGAATGCTCATGATTGTCAACCTAAGTAAATGGATAGAGGAGAAGTGACTACACATACCAGCACAAGCCCTTTGATGATTTGATCGGTGTAGTACTCTGGTTGTGATTGTTGCAGAGAAAGCAAATGACTGATCATGGTGTTTCTACTATTAATATCACGCCTATTCTCATCAATTAGACCCTGTAAAAACACGTCCATCTTCTCACTAAGCTTCGCTAAATTCTTCTCTAAACCCTTGTAATCAATCCACCGTAAAACCGGCAAGAAATCTCCCGGATTCGACGCACCGCCGTATCGGACTGCCTCCTTTATGAGGCCCCGAAAATGCTTCGCCTCCTCATTGCCCTCGTCTTCTCCAAAGTATCGCTTTCCTGAAATCATCCTCATAACCACATTGAATGACAGCTCCGATAATTTTGACCTCAAATCAACCTTCGCGAAACCCCCATTGACTGAATTTTGACGAAGATAGCACAGTAATCGCTTGATTTCGTCTTGTCGAATTGATAAGAACATGTTGAGACGACTGGCGGAGAAAATTTCGAGTGCGCTGAGTCGCCGGAGATTGCGCCAGTGGTCGCCGTAGGGGGATCCAACGATGTTGGTGTAGTTGTAGCCTAAGTACTTGCCGATTGTGAAACGAGGGCGGTTGGCGAGAACGACGTCGTTCTTGGTGAAACACTCCTCCACCACCGACGACGAAGACACAACAACAACCAATCGGGTTCCGAATCGGAGAGATATGATTGGGCCAGCTTTCTCTGAAAGCTTGTGAAAGGTTCTGTGAAGAGGTTGTTTCAGGAGGTAGAGATGACCTATAACCGGAAGCGCCCGTGCTGGGCTCGGTGGGAGGTTACGGCGTTTTTCCGTCAAGAACCTGAAAGCTAGAAAGAGGAGGAGGATTAGAGAGAGGGATGTGTATAACCAGGTTACTTCCATGGGTGGTTCAATTGAATTGAGTTTGTGGAGGTGTGAATTTTGGAAGAACATTAATGATGGATACTTATAGTGGGTTGGATTGTATTGAAAATTCTGGCCATACAAGTCCATTTCATAGAGTTTCCTGACTGTTCTGCTTGAATAGACAGTATTTGGGTTGCATCATGCATGACGTAAATTGTGTTTATCAAATTTTATATCCGTGGTTGAAGTAGTGGATTCTATTAATATCATCAAATATTCGATGAATATTTAGGGATAGAGGTCCTTTGAGTTAGTTATGGGTTAGATTAAATTGAATTAGATTAAAATAAATTTAATTTATTTTTACTCATGTAATAAATGAGTTACAATGGGTTAAATTTATAACGGGTTGAGTTAAACCGATTAACTTATAAAATAATTAAAATTCTTAATAAACAAATTAGTACGTCAAATACATACATACACATTAGTAGTATATCAAAATACAACACATACACACGCTAATACACTAAAACACANTACTCATGTAATAAATGAGTTACAATGGGTTAAATTTATAATGGGTTGAGTTAAACCGATTAACTTATAAAATAATTAAAATTCTTAATAAACAAATTAGTACGTCAAACACATACACACACATTAGTAGTATATCAAAATACAACACATACACACGCTAATACACTAAAACACATACAAACTAATACACTAAAAATATACACACTAAAATATACATTAATACACAAAAAATACAAACACATATATTAACACAAAAACTAAAATACATTTAATAAAAAAAATACACAAATAATGGATCGGGGANCTAATACACAAAAAATACAAACACATATATTAACACAAAAACTAAAATACATTTAATAAAAAAAATACACAAATAATGGGTCGGGGGTAATTGTGGACTATGTGTTGTGGGTCAACCCATGGGTCATGGTCAACCCACGGGTCATGAGTTGACCCGTGGGTCATGTGTGGTGTATTAGTGTATGTTTTTTGTGAACTAGTGTTTGTATATTTTGGTGTANATAATTGTGGACTATGTGTTGTGGGTCAACCCACGGGTCATGAGTTGACCCGTGGGTCATGTGTGGTGTATTAGTGTATGTTTTTTGTGAACTAGTGTTTGTATATTTTGGTGTATTAATATATACGTGTGTATTTTTTTGATATAATAGTGTATATATTTTTTGGTATATTATTATATTTATTTAATTTTATTACTTGTGTTATTTAGTAAAACGATAAATAATCAATCCAATGAGTACCCATTTATAATTTATATTAACCCACTTAATTAAAATGAATGATATTACCCAACTCATTAATTTATGGACGGATTAGGCAGATTAATAAATAATTAGTTAAAATTGTTACATCTACTTGGAGATATAAGATTTAATAAATAAATTTAGACAGTACAATTTTGTCCTTTTATTTTTTTAATTTTTTTGAATAAATTATACCCATAGTCACAGGAGTTTATCACTTAATGAACTTTAATCATTAAAATTTTAATTTTAAAAATTTCTTCCCTGAAATTCACGCATTACACCTACATATTATATACTCCCACAGCCCCAACTGATCTAATTCAATGATAAAAAGTAATCACGTGTTGGACACGTAACTACAATTAAAGATAATTTTGACATGGTCCAAGAATCTCTATAACCAAACCCAAAGAGAAAGAACCTCTTTGTGGGAGAGGGAATTGTTGGTCACTAGGCTGCAACGTCGTTGGTGGTGTTGGCGTTGAGACCCAGCCACACCCAGATAATGTGAGAGAGAGAACCCCTCCGGGGACGGGGGAGGGGGCCATATAAATATTAGGTATATGATATCATATATTTTTTTTTGGGTTCAATGGTAAGAGTGGTTGGCTTAACTTATATGCAGCTGAACTAATTTTCTCATCACTTCAGTCAAGGGCAGAACATTTATATCAAGATTAAGATATTTATAAAGGATAAATCTCTCATGGTCTAATACCAAATGAGTTGCATTCATATTATTTTAAAAAGTGGCCGTAAAAGTTATTTTAAGAGAAAACTTGTTTCATTTTTTACTTAGCATTTTAATATAGCCTTTGTGAATTATAAAACTTGTTCTGTTTTTTATTTTTTTGGCGACAGTTTTATTCCTTTGTGTTCTTGATTTCGTCTTTTCTTGTTTTCTTTTAGATTATGAATTTTAACCATGTTTTCATTTTATCAAAATAGATATTTTAATCACTCACTTATAGTTTAATTATAATAAGAGCAATGCTAAAAAGACTTAATTCAGGAACTTAATCAAAGACTTAGACAATGCAACAATTGGAGTAATTATGAGTTGCAATGTTAGATAGAGTTCATTTTCAATCTAATGATTTTATTTAATTAAGTCCCATATTAGGAATAAATTGTGTTTTTCATATAATAAATAATTTAATTAGGCCCCTTCTTCTCTTTCCCTAATGAAAGAATCCATCACTTGCTTTAGTAGTCTCAAACAATGCAATGATGAGGTAAGCAGTGAACAATTGGCCTTTAATTTTCTAATTCTGGATTTTGTAATTGACTAATGCCTTTAATATGGCACATGCCTTTTTGAAGGAGAATTGCAAATCTTCTTCTTGCTCTTGGTCAGAATCGTGTGGCTTTTCTAGAAAACTGTGGCCCAAAGGCTTGGACTTTTCTACTACACACAAGGCCAAGGAGGCCATCTTTAGGTAGGAGTCCATTGGCGAGTATTTACTTTGGAGAACGAAAAATCACATGTATGGGGCTTTGTAACCCGTATAGCTCTAACTCAAATACTTGGGAACGATCCAGAAAATAAAATTCTGTCAAATATTCGCATTAGATTATGTATTTCAATTAGATTATGATTCAAATTAGGGAAAAAAAANGCATTCATATTATTTTAAAAAGTGGTCGTAAAAATTATTTTAAGAGAAAACTTGTTTCATTTTTTACTTAGCATTTTAATATAGCCTTTGTGAATTATAAAACTTGTTCTGTTTTTTATTTTTTTGGCGACAGTTTTATTCCTTTGTGTTCTTGATTTCGTCTTTTCTTGTTTTCTTTTAGATTATGAATTTTAACCATGTTTTCATTTTATCAAAATAGATATTTTAATCACTCACTTATAGTTTAATTATAATAGGAGCAATGCTAAAAAGACTTAATTCAGGAACTTAATCAAAGACTTAGACAATGCAACAATTGGAGTAATTATGAGTTGCAATGTTAGATAGAGTTCATTTTCAATCTAATGATTTTATTTAATTAAGTCCCATATTAGGAATAAATTGTGTTTTTCATATAATAAATAATTTAATTAGGCCCCTTCTTCTCTTTCCCTAATGAAAGAATCCATCACTTGCTTTAGTAGTCTCAAATAAGGCGTGTAGACCCGCCCTTTTTTTGATTAGGTCATTTACTATCAAAGCGAAGAAAATGCGAGAACTACAAAATCAGACATGCCTTTCTCGCTCTTCAAGAAGAGTGGAATCAAAGTCCACCAAGTTGCCCTATAAAAGAAGGCACACTATCATTTTTGTTTCCAATAAGAAAGGACATTTAGGATCGACTAATAAGATAAAAAAAGACTTTCAATTTACTATATTATAACGTATTTATACTTTAATCACAGTAAAAAAAAGAGGGTAATACACGGAATACCCTAGTGTAAAAATATAAACGATCATGTAGTTTGACCGAGGATTAGTGTGCCTGCCTCCCACGTAAAGATGCGAAGCAGTGGCCGGCATTTATCAGTTCAAACAATGCAATGATGAGGTAAGCAGTGAACAATTGGCCTTTAATTTTCTAATTCTGGATTTTGTAATTGACTAATGCCTTTAATATGGCACATGCCTTTTTGAAGGAGAATTGCAAATCTTCTTCTTGCTCTTGGTCAGAATCGTGTGGCTTTTCTAGAAAACTGTGGCCCAAAGGCTTGGACTTTTCTACTACACACAAGGCCAAGGAGGCCATCTTTAGGTAGGAGTCCATTGGCGAGTATTTACTTTGGAGAACGAAAAATCACATGTATGGGGCTTTGTAACCCGTATAGCTCTAACTCAAATACTTGGGAACGATCCAGAAAATAAAATTCTGTCAAATATTCGCATTAGATTATGTATTTCAATTAGATTATGATTCAAATTAGGGAAAAAAAATATGAAAATATATGCGACCTGTGACAAGCCAACAGAAAACACGATAGTAGGCATCAAGATGGAGGGATCTAGTAGAATCTAATACTATATTATATAGCAACCAAATTAAGCGTGAGAGATCTTGAGAGGCCTTTTTTTCAGCATAACCATTCCTCTAACTCTGACCAATAACTCTGTTGATGGGGCATTCTTGAGAAGTGTCTAGGATCTGACACGTGTTTTTGGCGNTGTGAGAGATCTTGAGAGGCCTTTTTTTCAGCATAACCATTCCTCTACCTCTGACCAATAACTCTGTTGATGGGGCATTCTTGAGAAGTGCCTAGGATCTGACACGTGTTTTTGGCGCCGAAGACTCTCAAGAAGCTTGATGATTACACGTGTTCTCGGCGCTGANCTAGGATCTGACACGTGTTTTTGGCGCCGAAGACTCTCAAGAAGCTTGATGATTACACGTGTTCTCGGCGCTGAGGACACTTTCGGCCTTCTAATGGTGACACGTGTCTTCGGCACCGATGGCATATTCAGTCTCCTAGTTATGACACGCGTCTTCGGTACCGAAGACGCATTCTTCTTACAATGGTGACAAGTGTCCTTGGCATCGAGGACACCCCCATGTTCTTTGGAGATGACACGTGTACCCGACATCAAGGACACCTCCAGATTCTTGTTCATGTGTCCCCCTACGTGTCTTGGTCCTGAGGATTCTTTCTAAACGTCACCTCGACTCCAGGATACATTAATGACTGTTACAACTAATCAATCTCAGAGTCTAACAATAAGTCATTGACTTTTTTTCCCCATGAAGTCAGAATGGCAAAGTGAACGAGACCAG